TTTTTAAACAGTTATTTAATTGTTCAAGCCAATGTAATCACTCACTACTGTTAATTCTACCTATTTGAGCATTTATTGAATTACATTTATCACAGAGCAGTTCTGTCACAGTATGGTTCTAATTATAAACAAGCAGTGAAGAATGAAACTGATAAACTACAGAAACATTTGAAACACGCTCASCTGGAGAACATGGTGCTGTTCTCCTGGTGAGGATGAGGAGTTAAACATTAAACAGKTTCYTCTTTGCTTTAATATGGGACAAACAAACGTTAGTGAACAGTGAATCTGACTCGCACCGTGTGCGTCCTGCGGCGCACTCCCGTGGCGGTCTCGGCTCGGTTCGCACTTTGGTACACGGGCACAGCGCGCATCCACGCCAGCGGTGGAGGGGTTTATATTTGGAGCTTATGTTATTGTATTAATCTCCAATATGACATGTGGCAGAACACTTTACTAGTGAAATGTTGTAGGATAAGAGAGCAAAAGCATGACAGACGAACAAAGTGAATGTTGCGCGCAGCCTTTGCATGAYGASCTTGGTCACGCACACAAAGTTGGACATACAGTATCTGTTGGATAACGGCGCTCTGAGCACAAATATTTAATATCAAGTTAAGTTTTATGGACCAAAGTCCAAGGAGCAAAATGAGGGAGGAAAGGTTTCACTCAGGACTGACCGCTGTGCTGCTCCTGCACACTGCTCACCTGCTGCTTACTGAGCTGCCCTGATCCACTCTGATTGGATAAAAGTGTGCTGGGGCTTGTTTCATTTGTTGTAAGTAGTGGTGCGTTCAGGGGTAGACTGGGCGGCTTTAACAAGACCACAACAGAAAAACAGTTGTTGTTGTTTTTTCCCCCCTCCCTTACAGAAATCTGTCCTGGTCACGTTCAAAGTGACGGAAATCCATCGTGGCGATGGAGAACTTTAAGCCTTGGTATTAGCTCAGGCGCTAACGCTATAATTTTAGATTCTTTTCCAATAAAGTTTATCCATTTGAACATTAATGAGCTTGTCCTTACTGTTTATTCAGTTGAATATAGGCTGTAAAGGATTTGCAAATAATCACATTCTGTTTTCATCTATATTTTACACAACCTCTCTTTTTTATTGGAATAGCCTAAKTGCCACGGTCATTAATGACATATTTCCGGTAAAATTCTTGCCACGCTCCTCCCTTCCACTCCCTGCTTACAGCCTATGTTTTTAGCGTTAGCTGCTAGTACTAGTCCGTGAAAAAGTCACAAAAGTTAAAGCATCTGTGAGCTACTGGTATAAAACGTGAGTTCTGTTGTGTGCCGTTGTGTCCACTAAGCAGCAGGTACGATCGAGTAGTTAGATTTTATACATTTTCCTCTTGATGAGGAGGTGACAGCAGAGGATCATAGCATTACAGGGAAAACTTATCTTTAAAAGCTCACGCTTGCGTTAGTAATCAGCATTTCTAACCTGAGGATATTCAAGAACCAGCATCAGAAATGAGAAGA